ACTCGTCCCTTTATTGTGACCCTTGTGTGAGGGACTGTACAATTACCTACAGTGGGCTTTTCTCTACTCCAACCCCCCTCGTTTGCCTTAATAAAATTGTTTGTTTGGGATCTTCTGATGCCTGATACCTGATCCTATCAACACCTTGTGATCACACAAGCTGATGTGCTTCTTCCACGTGGGCTTATTTGCTTCCCTGCTAGATGACCTCTTGTTTAACTTCAAGCCTTTAAGACCCCAGACACTATACCTTTCTTTTTGCTATATCTTTTAATAGCCAGGCACCATCAGCTTTCTTCACCATGTTTGCTTATGCACCCTTTTTGTCTTCAGTGATCATATTGGGAAGGTGAGTATCACAGTGTGTTAGTCTGGGTTGACTAGAGAAACAAATTCATAGACACTCATGTGTATAAGAAAGATCTTTAGATACAAAGAGCAATTGAATATTGAGTAAATGTCCCAGCCCAGTCTAGATCAAGCCCATAAGTCTGATATTAGCCCATATGTCCAATTCCAATCTATAACGTCCTCTTCCGACTCACAAAATACATGCAATGACGCCGAATGCAGGAAGATCACACGCCAGTGTTTGGAAGGTCTTGTAGATCCAGTAGCCGTATAAGCATCTCAGCACTGGCATGGGTCTTTACGTGGCTCCTCCAGTTCAGGGCACTAGTGTAGCTCCATGTGTCTTCTCAGTTGGAATGTCTGCCAGGGAGTGAGCATGTGTCCCGCCTCCAGTGAGCTATTAATCTCCTTAGCGCCTCCAAATGAGGTCATCAAGCTGTGACTTGATTGACAAGCTAAACTCCACCCCATTCATTTGTGAGTCTCAAATTGACAACAGATTATGTAACTAACACACACAGAATATCAGGTTGTTAGAACAAAGTGTTCTTGTGTTGAGGGAAAACTTGAGTAGAGCCCCAATGTCCATCTGCTACCTTAATACTAAACCTATAAATATATATACATAGACCTATATCCCTATCATATATTTACATATATATATGCCTATATTTATGCCTCTATAAATGGCTTTTTCCTGCTAGTTCTTTCATCTATTTCAGTTTACTTTCCTCCTGTCCCACTATCATGTTCTATCTTCATTGGACTCTCAGTAATTCCTCTCAGCTGCACTGCACTTGGTCAAACCACATCAGGCATTCTATGCCCTCGTCGCCATTGATTTTATAACCCTTGTTCCCTTGCCCCTGAGTTTGGCCAACACCATAATTTTAAGGCATCAATAATTCTTCAGTCCTCATTATTCACTTTCTAATATTTACATGCACGAGGTAATTGAAAGTACCCTGGTTTGGGCCAGGCATACTTAGTCTTTAAAGTGTCATCATTGATTTTTAACACTTTATTTATTTATTTATTTATT